ATCAGGACAACGAGCAGCAATGAAAGATTAATCTCAAAGGAAAATCTCACCATTATGAAAGCATGAAACTAATGCGAGTTTTTGTAGTTAAGAAGATAATTCAACAGTAAGAATCTAATCCTTCCGTCTTTAGTAGAGGCAAAGATTGATATCCTTTCCTTTGATGGTTTTATAGATGCTGAGAAGTTGGATGCTTGGGTAGATTAGCTTGAGGATCATGCCTATTTTTATTGGGTATGTTTCTTAAATGATGGTTTGTTTTGCTTGAGTGAACCTCACCAAGCACATTTTATCTTTATGGAAAGATCTTCTATGATATGCTTGTCAAGATATTGAAGTTAGTTCAAAAAACTAACATGTCAAGAATTTTACCTTGTGGATGCGATGAAGGAAGATTAAGGAAGTGGTATAAGTTGCGCCAATGGTAAGAACAATTTGTACAATATTATATGATAGAGTTTAGGAGACTAGCCTTGATAATATATGCATCATTAGCAGATATATCCATTTTGAGTATGTTGCACGAATATGTACACAACACGAGACAGACATAGACCACTTCTATTATTGAAAGTATAAAATACATTCACACATCAGACACACTATTATAATAAAAACTATTAAAAGTATTATTTAAATCTTAAGTACCGTATGAAGCGAAGAGAATCAAAGAGAAATCCTAGCAATTTGTGGCTTTGAGCCGTATGGAGCAAAGAAATGAGTGTGTAGATTAGACAAGCACAGGAGTAAGGGATGGCGTTGTGGCGAGAGACTAGATATTTAAAAACTAGAATCTTAAATGTTTGTTTTTAAGTTGATTACTTTTAAATTATATTTTTTTATTGAAATAAAGAAATGTACATAAATGTTGTATGAGAGGGCCCAATAGAGACACCATACCCATACGATACCATGTATAGTACTACCCCAACAAAAATATACAGAAAGACTAAAAAAATTTAAAACATGCAGAAAACAATACTTTTAAATTACTTATATATATATCTATATATAATCTTAACTTTTTTCAAAAATTTATGATATATCAATTTTTGACACGTGTCTTTTTTTTAATATTATTTAAAGCAAATACTTCTATATGTCATATTTGGCACATGTCAGAATCATGTCTTTGTCTCACACTGCACGACCCTTTAATTAGAATTGTCCATGCATCATAGTATAATGATGATGTAAACAGTAATGCAATATCAAGTATTTCGATCAAGCATCATCTTGATTGCGAGAAAAAATAAAAGAAAATCAGTGAATTTTTTGTCAAGAGAAAAGAAGGGGAATTGAACAGTATTGAAATGAAGTGGGCATGGAAGGGATCCAACAATTCCATAAACTCTCTTTCACAACCCAATTCGAGGTTTGGAATTAACCATTGTAGGTACAGGCGATGAGGAGCTGAAATTAAATTTTTCTATATTTTATTTTTATAACTAACATTTAACAAATGAAAGTGCTACTACATATAAGAAAATTAAACCAAAATAATTATAAATTTATCTCGGTTTAGGTTGTTCGCGTCTTCTATAAATATTTCATTATTTATTGTTCATTTTTTCATCAATTAATTAAACTTAAAAAGTTAGTTTAAAATAACATTGAGCTAATTATAGTCAGTGAATACTAATACTCATAAAATATAATAACTCAATGAAAATTAAGACAATATACATGCTAGTTAAATTTCTAATAAATCAGTTAAAAAACATTTGGTTATTTATGAATATGATTGATCACACTATTTCATAACATTCTATGTATATTACTATATCACATGTCTATATCATTTTATATTTGTACAACCATCATAGGGGCACTGCCTAAAATTGTATAAATGAAGACATATTAATTTCAATATCCATTTTTATTTACGTGCATAATTATTTTAGTGTTCTCCCACTAGTACCATAAATGGGTGAATTTCATCATAGCTAAGCATGCACATAAATTCAATCTATGCAGTGTATTATTCATACATGTATTTCATTAAATTTAATATGTTATGTATGCATAATGCATAATATTAGTCATCGCTAAAATGTAAATTGTCACAATAATATGACTAATAAAAAAGAGCATATAAATCAGAATAAAACTTGGCAATTAAATTTATAGGCGGCAGTAACTATTAATACAATTGATTAAGAAAAAATAAAAATGTTACTACATATTTGACACTGAAGGTAACCCAGTTTGCGACAGAATCAAGATGTTATTACTGAAATTCAAAAGGTTACAATGAAGACTCTTCAAAACATAAAATAAATGACCAAAGCCACAAACAACACCCTAGGGTGAGGATAACTTTGGTGGACGTCAGCTGGACAAACGAGGAATGGATGGATGGGGCTTGCGACAACAGTGGGAGTGTTGGTGTGGGGTGGCAACATTAGTAGAAGTGTTGGGACACCATCTTGGATGGCTGAATGGGACCTGTGATGGCAGCAGAGGTGGTTGGAAGGGGTTGCGGTAGTGGAAGTGATATTGGAAGGGTTGGCGACACCAGCGCCGGCTGCAGAAATAGGTAGTAGGCAGTTGGGCAGCAACAAAAATTGGAAGTAGGGGGCACTAGGAAGATGACATCACCCAGGGGAGGTTGTGGATGGGAAAGTCGGGGATAATCACCACTTCGGAGCAGGATATAGTCGGAGCACCATCTGTCTTCAGATACAACCCTAACAAAAGAAAAGAAGATACGCTGACAACTGTTCTAACAGAAAACTCAGCAAAAACTAATTCTAAACAAGGAAAGACCATATATATAATAATATATAATTAGGAGCACTTGGATGGAAACCCTAACTCAAATAATTGGGCAGGCCAACCCCCCATGCATCCCTACCTGAACCAGCCCAGCCTTTGCAGTTGGGTTTACCTCACTGGCAACTGCACCGTTCCCCAAGACACATGAGGATTTTTCTCCAATTGCGAGTATACATCCATGTCCATCCACTCTTATGGGTTCCTTTACTGAGTTGAGCTGAGTTTGCATGTCGTGTGTATAATGTTGAATCCTTCCAAAATAATCCAAGGGTGGCTCAACCTGATCTGGAGTGAGAGTAACCCGAGCCTTCCCGAATGGTGATGGTCACGATAGTAAGATACTAATTGAGGTGTCCTGAAATGCTCTCTGTCGTGACTGTCCCATGTCTGGAATTGGTGTCGTCACGAAAATTGGTCCCACCATCGTTGCTCTGCTGGCAAGGGACCCTATAATCTTGGGCTCAGCAGAAGGGAGAAGGACATCGGAGAAGGACGATGTCCTTCCCCTGCTTGGTGAAGGGTAGGTTTTTCTGAATCCGTCGTGCTGAGTCTTACGGTCTTCCCAACAAAAGATGACAGGCATTCATCGACACCATGTCGCATCCGCCAAATCCTACAGCTGGCTTCCAATCAAAAACTCAATGCTGACCATGTTTTCTTTCTTCAGCCACGTCCGAGAATAACGTCGGGCATGCCTTTGAGTTATGAGGCTCCATTACTCCACTTACATAGACGTCACATTCTTGTTGTTCCATCTATCGATGATGATAATGCATACGTTTCCATTCACAGAGCAGCGGGTGTAGAATATGTGGCGAAACCATTGGTTTTTTTGTATCCTCAGTATGTAGGACTCGTCAAACTATGAGCATCTCGCCCTTATCAGTTGGAAGATAATGCACCTCACCCTATTCCTCTTATGTCTCCTCGTTGCTTACCTCGTCCACTGTGCCCTGCTCAGTAAAAGACAATTGTACTCATTAGGTAGTTGAAGGCGATGTGTCCAAATTCATAGCATCAGAAGCATCTTCGGGCTAGTAATATAGAAGGCATGTTACTCTTCTCAGGGTTCTTCTCACTCGGAGTGGCTCTGTCCTTATCTAAACATGTTTTCTCAACTCCCTGAAATGTGTAATTGTTGTTGTTTGCAACTGTGAGTGGTTTCCTTGTGGTGGTTTTCTGCTCTATTTCTGCTGTCTCTCTACCTTCAAAGCTAGTCTGGAGATCACACAGTGTCCAATAGGGTTGCAGTTGCATGACATTGATGTAGAGGGTTTCAGACCACTCAAATATCAAGCTATGGAATGTTCCTCTGGTTCAACCAACTCATACTTCATCTACAATTGATCAAACTGCATCGCAAACTCCTCTACTGATAAATCTTTCTACTGTAGTTGATGGAGACTCAGAAACATGTTCTAGCGATAATGAGGATGTAGGCATTTTCTTTATATCGTCTTTCTCTTCCATTTGATAATCTTGTCACCGTCTGCTCTCTTTCTTTGTCTCTGCAAGTTTTCCCGCAACAAAGAGACACTTTTTTTTTTAATTGTGATGACCACTAGTTTTACCCTTTTATCTTCTGACACATCTTGTACTCGAAGATTCTCAACTGACTGCAGCCATTCTCAAAGTAAGCTTTATTATGGCCATTGCTAGATCTCACGAGTTAGTAAAGTTTTTTCCGAAAATTTACACTTAGAAGTTTAAGGATTATAAAATGAATATGGTGGCTATTTTCATGTAGTAGGATCAAGCGTTGGAGTAAAAACAAAGAATGCCAGTTTGCCTCTCTTAGCATATATCTAGAAAGATTATTAATTTCTTCTCTTTCAAACTTTGCACTATTATAAGAATTCACTTCTAGTGTTAGTTGTTATCAATAGTAAGGGGAATGCTCTGTGATCCTTAAAATTCTGTCAATTCATGACATTATGTTTTTCTATAATTAAACTCCAACTTCTATATTTACATATTTCTTGTTTTCTTATATTTTTAAAGGAAAAAAAGCATTTTACGGACTATTGTCGGAATAGTATTTACTTTTTTAGAACTTCAGCATCATCAATATTTACAAGGATTCTATCTTAGTTGTTTTCATGACATTTTTTTGTCCGTGATCATTATAGTCTCATAAGTCTATAATAATGTCAAGTTTGTCCACTAACTTGGGTCTAAAATAACTTCCTCAGTATCATTTGAACTCAATTATTTATTTTCAGTTGTTTACAGATAGCACGAGCGTTTGGTGCTACTGTGGTAATTGCAGTTGATGTGCGAGACGAAAAACTACTCAATGCAAGGACTCTCGGAGCAACTCACACCATAAATGCTTCAAGGGAAGATGCTGTCGAGAAGATAAAGGTACACAACTTTAAATTCCCAAAATTTTTGAGTCTAAAAATTTTAATCTTCTGTTTTTTGAGATGCATAGGACTGCTAAAATTTGAATAAACCAACAAAAATTCAAAACTCTGAATGATTTGCTCCACCACCCATATGACAGATTTCCACATCCGAAGTCAGCCAATTTCCATCGCGTTAGGATAGAAAATCACAGCTTCAATCTGGAAATCAGTATTTGGACAAATTGATAGTTCCAAAGCTCCTTCATCAACCAATTCTATATCAACTGCTCATCTGAATGATGCTTTCCAAAACTATTACCAAGTAGTTTAAATAAGAAGGCTTGCTGCTGATGATGATGATGATATTGCCTTGGCGTTTTCATGACATTGCATTTTTCAACTCCATACATATTTTAATATATTTTTCAGATTTTTTTTATCATCCCCAATTATTTAGGCATTTCTAATAGATCTGAAAAGCTAATTGAATGAACTTGTTTCTTTTTTGTTTCTATATAATACTTTAAATATCATCGACTTGTTTATTTGTAACGTGTATTGTTTTTGTTATCAATAGGAATTTACTGGTGGAATGGGTGTTGATATTGCAATAGAAGCATTGGGAAAACCTTTAACTTTTATGCAATGCACAAAAGCTGTGCGAGATGGTGGTAAAGCAGTTATGATAGGACTTGCTCCAACCAATGCTTTGGGGGAGATTGACATAACTCGCCTAGTCCGCAGACAGGTAACCATTAGCTCAACTAAAAAGTTTTTGTAATATTATTTTCAGAAGGGGTTAAGATAATATATTATTTATTCGGCAGATTTTGTTTGTAGCCTTTATATTTTATCAGCATATTATTTGGACTCTGAGGAAGTTAAAGATAATGATACTCAAACCAGCTTTTTTCTCATTCCCTTTTGATTTACTTCCCTTCTTCGCCAGTAACCTCACACAGCCTTGGTAATCTGGATCTTTTTAAATTTAGATCTCGAGATTAAGCATTCCATTATGCCCATGATAATATTCCCCGGTGGGTGACTAGCGCTGCATTTGGATGCACGTGTTACACGTCACCTCTGGTCTGTTTTCCTTTTCTCGGCTCGTCTAAACATTTGAATGGGATTCCAAACTGGCCCATTTACAAACCATTTACAAAATAGTTTACAACTATAATGTTTTTTTTAAATATATATATATATTTCATTTCATATAAAATTGTGTGTGTGCTACATATATGTATGAAGAGGGAGAGTGCTGGTTTCTAATCAAACAACTAGGAAAACTTGATTTTCATATTCATTTTTTGTTTTCCAATCATTTTGGTTATCAATGTTTTATTTTATTGGCAATCATTTGATTATTCTATTTATGGCTGCAGATTTTGCAATCCAATAGCCTTCATTATTTTTTTCTTTCTTTTAGAATAATGATTTTTTTCGGCAGATACCTAATTTTTTGAATCTATGATATATTCAATGATTTGATTTTCAAAGATATTTGATAAATTTGTTTTTTTATTAATTCTGGAGTACTTGATTAGCCATCCTAATTTCATGAGCGATAATGCAGGCCTCCGCTTAATCTTTGTGATTATTTTCCATCTTAGTTGACATTCTGTTGGGAATTATGAAGTGTTTGAAGGTGTTTTTTGAGTTTTGCTTATATTTTGCTTGAATTTCCTGTACACCCCAGTTCTAATAGGTTCTCGTGTTGGTGGGTTAATTTGGTGCGATGTTGTCTTTTCAACTAGTTTAACTATCTAGTCATTGTGAGACTTCTAATAGGTGGAATTTTGCAAATTATGCATTTTTCACGTGACCATATATGATTATGTTGTCTTTTTTTATTATTATTATTGGTGGTAAATTTATGAGGCATATAAATGTTTGTCCAATTTTCTTGAGCAACTTTCTTGTTTTGATATGTTCTTTCTTCTATTCTTCTCCTTGATTAAGCGGATAAACAAAATTTTTTGTGAGTGGTTTGTCTAACTACACAATTGAGAGGCCTAATATGTTCAATTCTTTTTCTTTCGCCTCACATCTATCTCTTTATCTCTCTCTCACTTGCATGTGCAGTTGATTTTTTTCAAATTATATACTCTTTGGGTTCTAACAATGCGTGATTTTTAATTAATTATGACTTTTTCCTTTCAAATTGATACAAGTAATATCAAATTGTCACCTACATTGAGATTCTCTATGGCTTTGTCTTTATCCTAAATAATAAATATTTGTTTAAACCAATAGTTAATGCTTGTTATCATGATTTTTTGTTTTAAAAATTCTTGACACTAGGACTTCATTCATCATATTTGATTTCAGGGCTTAAAAGTTTTTTTTTTCTTCTTGCCAACTTAGTGTCTATGGAATGGAACCTCTCATCAAACTTAGGAATAAAAGTAAAAACTGAAATGTTGTATCTATCTTCTTGGGCTCCTCGACGTCTGTAAACATGATCTTTAGGATTCGTCTTTATAAAAAGATTTGCTAAAAAAATATTAGCAACTAGAACTATGAGTTAAACGACTTAGTAGATAAAATAATTCTAAATTATAATAATTAGCATTTTAAAATATTTTTATATAAAGAAAAGTAAGCAGTTAAAATAAGACAATAAATAAATTAGTTTTTGTTGTTATTTTTATTTTTTTTATTAAAATACTCGTTAATAAAAGTCTTCTAAATGTGTATTTAAAGCACACATTTCATAACATTTTTTTAAAATCCAGCAAAAGAATAAACTGTCATTTCCATGTCTCTTTTTACTTGCATTGGTATGGTGCTTCCCCTTTCCTAGCTAATATCATTTTGTGGGTTGGGCGGGGGGAATTATAATATTTGTAGTTTAAAAGAAAATATTAAAAATAACAAAAATATGTACAACTAATTTCAGCGGTAAAAAGAATTGTTGTAAAATAAAAATATATTTACCCACTAAGATTAACTATTTGTTTGGTCTACCTATAATAACATATTGATTTTGATTAGCCTCTATTCATTTTTGTCCTTCATTTTCCATTTTATACCTAAATTAACAATCATTTTATTATGATTATCATCTCTTGCTTAAATGGAAGTTATTTCATTAATTAATGTTAGCACATATTATAATAGATAATTATCCTAAAATTCTTTTTGGTGTCTTTGAATTAGGAATTATGCTAGTGTTCTTAACATTTAGGGTTTGTTTGGGGTAACTATAGCGGTTTGAAGAAGCAAATGTGAAGCTGCTACAGAAGAAGATGTTATTCAAAAAGATGCGGTGACATTACAAATTTATTTTAATTTCAAAATGTCAGAACGAAGCTTTCTGACAGCCACCACACTTTAACATGTTAGGTTGAAAAGGCAATTTTATATCAAAAGAAATTTATAGAAAACAGTTCTCTAATTAGAGCTGCGGTGGCGGTGTAAAAAGCAAAGTAGCCAAAAAGCTATCCCAAACGGACCCTTAACTTAACACTAATTAACAAACAAATAACAATTAATATGGAACTCAAATTTCATACTTGAAATTTCTATCCCACAACAACTTTTTCCCGCTTTCAGCGAGCAGCTTCCTATTCCTAGAGAATAAGGAAACGAGTGTGTTGTGCCATTAGTTTATCACCCGCCGGCGGCACGGGTATATGATTAAAGTGTTCTTCATATTACAGCCTTGTTCATCCATTCCTCTTGTACAAAAAAAATAATAATAATAAAATTTATAATATCTGCACAGATAAAAATTATCGGCTCATATGGAGCGAGAGCAAGACAGGATCTTCCTCAGATTGTGAAGCTTGCTGAGACCGGCATATTCAAGCTTCGAAACACAGTGTCCAGAAAGTGCAGATTTGAAGAGGCAAACCAAGTCTATGAAGACCTTGACAATGGGAAGATTGTTGGCCGAGCTGTGATTGAAATAGCAGAGTAATTTTTAACTTTGATTTGATCTGGAAATAATGCTTTTGTCGTGTCTCGCCAATACTATGTTTTTGAGCGTTTTCTTGTATGTTCATTTGAGCATATTCTTTGATGAGTTTTAATTATGCTATTACATTTTGCACATTTTGCTCTTGCTCTTGCTCTAACTGATGATTTTCTGAATGTGTGCATTCAGGAAGAAATGTCTTAAAGTGCAGGTTTCAAGCATTCCCACACTCAGGTAATATAAATGGGTAAATTACATACACAATTTTTATGCATTTACACATTTATCATTTGATCTTTACATTTATATAGTTAACTATAGTGATATTTTCATGTGATGACAAATTTGAGTTATATTAAAATTTAGTATAAATATCATTAAAAGTTTAATGGTTTATCTTCAAAATAATTATGAATGTTTTTAAATAAATTTTAAATTGGAGATAAATTAATCAAATATATGTTGCTTTTTAGATATTGTCATGTTTTTAAAGCCTTTAGGTTGCAATTATTTTTATTTATTTTCTAGCATAAATTGACTTATCTTTCCTAAGCAAATGGCGTACACTTTTGCTACGCATGGATTACGTTGCGTTTATCATGTAATGGCTGAGAAGATAAACTTCAAATTGAGAAGGAATAAAACCAGTGTGCAGAATGTTAATCACAAATAAATATTATTGTTAAAATTCAAAGGAGATTATAAGGTAGTCTCTTAAAATAAGAAAATAACACATTATAAGGAATTTATAGAACCTTATAAATAATTGGTAAGGGGATGGTGGGAGCGATGGTGGTACGGGTGCTGTGAGGGAGATGACAACACATGCGGGTCGCTAGAGGTTGGGAAAGGGCTGGCAGCTGAAAGTGGGGAGTTGGAAGTAGTTACGACAACGACAGGAAGATTCCCTGGGCTGGCGGCAAGGAATCGGGAAAGAGGAAATGTGTCCAAGGTGGGAGGGCAGCAAGGAAAAAAGGGAAAGATATGCACCACCTTAGACGAGTTACAATCGAAGCAATTCTCGTCTTTGGATACGATTACCCTTAAAGGGAAAAAAAGGGGGGACATCGGCAGCTGTTTAAACAAAAATTTCATCCGAAAACTAAAACCTAAGGCCACAAACATATATTTATAATAGATGCATAGAAAAGAAAGTGAAAAATAATTCCTACCTAATGAAAGAGAGAGGTGTGGGTTTGATTCAATCCCTACACCTCATAGGTTGCTATTGAACCGGGTTGAACCAGTTCAGATAAAAATGAATGCAATCTCATTTTGATTATTTGTTATCTGCTGGGTTTTGAGAGCAAGGCTTTGAAAGTTGTGATTTTGGTAAAAGAAATTGAAATTTTTTTTCCATTTTTTAAGATTTATATACAAAATATTTTTATATGATTAGTTAGAAATTATTTAGATATGAACATTAAGATTTGGTATGAGCATGACTCTTTATAATTAATTGCTAATTTAAAAATGAACAACATTTATTGATTAAGGTGAAAACATTTATAATTAATTAATTTCTCATGTTGGCAAAAATTTAAAGATTTTTAAGGATTATTTAAGCATTTTCTTTTTATATTTATTACGTACCAAAGTAAACTTCTAATTTGTTCAAGAAGAAAGTAGAAATATAAAATGTCCTATATGAAGTAGCATATCTCTTCAATAAGATCTTAAATGACAGCTTTATATTTTGTTAAAACTTTGTGTTGTCATTGTCCCGTCTCTCAAAAGTGCAGCATGGCACTAATATGGCTTGCCATGTGGATGCAATATGGCATTATGTATGGCTTAAGTGGGACTCATATGTTGATGTGATCATGTGACACCAAAATGTTATTGTGCTCAACATGATACTTATTGCCTCTTTAACCCATCCCATAATAGGTTTGATGATGAGTTGATTAATACTTTTATTGGGTAAGTAGAAATTTATATTAAGCCTTAATTAATCATTAAATAAAAAGCTCATAAAGCCCTTATTACTCGTTACCAAAAGATGGAACTTTCTTGCTAGTCTGAGGGTGCATATATAGGTAGGTTTAATAAAGATACCTTTTGGAGTGGCTAGTTACTCACTTATCCTCAAATCTCTCAAGTCAAATTTAGGCCTAGAGATAATCCCTTAGATAACAATAGGTGCTTTGCTTAACACTTCATGACTCCTATATGACACGATGACCTTTCATAACATTACATGACCCATGTAAACGATTTGAGCTTTTGGAATGTAATTTTAGTAATAGTAAATCTAGTAACAGGGTTTAGACAATTGCTGATCATCCATTAAAAGAAGCAAACTTTTTTTTAGAAATTTTAGATCTATTGTTCAAGTGATGCTGATATAGATGGAGATATTAGTAGAATTCAAGTTAGATGGTTAAAGTGGAGGAACACATTAGGCATACTGTGTGATAGAAAAATACCGCTTAGACTTAAAAGGAAAATTTTATAAAATGGTGGTGAGACATGCAATGCTTTGTGGTGCAGAATGTTGGCTTGTAAAAGAGAAGCATAAAATTAAGTGTTGCTGAGATAAGAATGCTCAGGTGGATGAATGACCTTACACTTAGAGATGAAATGTGAAATGAATATATCTGAGAAAGGGTTGGAGTAGCTCCAATGACAACATCCAATATTAGAGAATAGTAGTCTTAGATGGTTTGGTAACGTTAAATGTTAACTATGGGATTACCCTGTTAGGAGAGTAGATGCTTTAAATTTGACTTATGCTAAGAAAGATATAGATAAACCCAAAAAGAATTAGGCATATTGTATAAAAAATGAACTTAATTTATTAAAATTAAATGAAATATGACACTCAATAGGACAATGCAAAAAAAGGATTCATGTAACCAACCCCCCAACCCAACTTAGTGGGACAATGGCTTGTTGTTGTTATTGTTGCACCTGTTGGCAACTTCCTCCAACTTCACCCAACCAACAAAGAACCCTATATATATATTTGAAACATATATAGCACTCAAAACATTATTATTTACAAAATTAGCATCCATATGATTTACTAGAACTACCAAATTGATTATGTACACGTGCCACTATCAAAACTACTTAGTTATAAAAATGAAAATTATGGGTTGGGGTTTGTCATGAATTTTGATATTTGAGTGGGAATTTGAAAATTGGATGTAAAATAATGCTAGACAAATAAACAATAATGTTTTGAGTGCTATTTATGTAATTGCCCCAAAATACATTCATGCAAAAGAATATTTTTCATCTGAACAATGACTTGCACTTAAAACAAAAATACAATTCATATGTTCTACCAATTTCAAAATTACACCGAGTTGATTACCTGAACAGTATTTAATCATGATACTAATTAAAACTTTAAGCATCACAGTACAAACTGAAACTAAGATTAAGATTTTGCACCTTTCATCTTTCCCACTCCAAATCAGGATCCATCTTTACCACACTTTGCTCGGACGAACCATGATCCGCTCGATCCACGTGCGGTCCAATGACTCGGTCCCAACCCATGATGAGCGGCAGCACAAACTGTGTAAAAGAGTTATTATCATGTTATAGAATTGGGCCATTTACATGCATACGACCCAATTTCTATTGATTTACATATCCAACACCTAAAATTTACTTTTTTACATGGATAACATCCAAATCTTTCAAAGCACTTAAAAAGACCACTATTTAAACTTCTAAAAAGTGAAATATACCTTTTTTATAAATCGTTTAAGTGGTGTGTATGTAAAAATTGAAGTCCAGCTGTTAGATAAGTAAATACATAGAAATTAAGTGGTATGTATGTAAATCTTCCTAAATTCTGCTATCTAACAAAGCAAATGCCACTTTTAATCATCTTCTCCCCATAAAAACTAAAGAAGCAACGGTTGCTTTTATAACTACCACCACAAAATGAACTAACGAAAGAGAACTATTCTCTTCAGTATTGAAATTGACATCAAATTCTATATAAGCCTTGTTGTGCAGGTGCAGTACATGTAAAATTACAATATATATATCTGCATTTTTTTTACTAATGCAAAAGAATTGATTGTTAGATGGTTTGGTCATATTAAAAGTCGACCATTAGATGATCCGAGATGATCCGATTAGGAGAGTAGATCGACTTGTGTTAAGAAAGGCAGAGGTAGACCTAGGAAGACTTGGGTTTATTGTATTAAAAATGATCTTAATTTACTAGAACTAAATGAAAATATGATACTAAATAGGACGCAATGGAGAAAAAGGATTCATGTAGCCGACCCCACGTAGTGGGATTAAGGCTTTGTTGTTGTTGTTGTTGTTGCAAAAGAATTGATTGTCCATTCTGTAACTAAATCGAACCATAAATAAGTAATAACAAATAAGAAGGTGTTTCTCAAATAACTTACACCGCAAGCCGTCCGCATCACGCAAAACTCGGCCTTAGTTACAGGTAATGAAAGGCGTTCGTTAGTTTTCAGAACAGCATTCATGACAGCTGCAAGACAAATACAGAAAAAGCTGAAATATTTTATCAAATTTGGATGTTTTGTTAAGAAAAAAAAAAATTCAAAAAGAGAACAAAAATATTCTATCAAAAATCAAAATAAAAAATCATCCTTAGCTTCATCCCAGCCTTTTCAGGCCTGCTTTATAAATTCTTATTTTTTCATTTCTTCCTATTAAGTGTTGCCTCATGATAAACCTATTCTTTGAAAATATCTAAATTCATTTTCAATTGCCCTATATACAATAGATGGCACTCTAACCTTATCTCTAATATTGATTATTCATCAATTTATCCTTCCTAATTTTCTCACATGAATGTGCATGCTAACACCCCTTACAACTTTAACTTTTAGACTAAGTAGCTATTTGATCGGATGAATTTGGAGTGTGAAGTAAATGCAAGGGATTTTAAAATTTTAGCTTTGGTTGGATGTAAATATAATGCAATGTAAATTATGGTGATTTCAAAACTGGTTTGAACAATTTTCAAATACACGGCAAACTGCAGCCCTTATCATTGCTAGCAGGCCACCCTGCAACCATCTGCAGCTCGGCTACTGCCGCCGCTGCACGTTAAAAAGCACGTCACAACCATCTGTTTGTCGTCATATCTACCCGCCGCAAATGTAGTTGCCCACCAGCTGCTGTTTCCCGTCATTATCGCCTATCGCAACCATCCACCTATCGCCAACCACACTCCAACTACTACCACAGTCCATCGCCACCACACCCGCCGACGGTCAGCGTCAACGTGGACTATATATTATATTGATTTTATTTTTTTTTTCAAATCAAATTCAAAAATATAAAATCTTAGATTTATTTTGTCCTATTAAACAACTCCAAAAAAATCCAAATACATTACATTTCAATTACACTGCATTCCTTTTTCAGCAGACCTAATGGCCCCTAAATAAAAATAAAAGACTTGAAAACTTTTTTGGAATGGATAACTTAAATATATAGGATGTATGCCACATAGTTTCGTTCATAGCTCCCCATCAAAAAGCTAGCAGATCAACACAGGCTGAACAGCTGACTGCTAAATTAAAAATTTTAAAATAAATAAAATACAATAAAAAACTGACAGGCGAATTTATCAATAATGCACTTATGGTCCATCTGTATTAGTTAACTTAAATTTTAATTAATCCACAATTAACTTAAATCAATATCATAATTAGTAGTACTTCTTTAGTTAATTAATAAATTAGTTTATATAATTCTAATCTATTTAAATACTAATCCAACTGAAAAAAGATGGTAAAAGCCAAAATATGGTTTTGTTTTCTAATGAAACCAAATCTGAGCAAGAGGTTAAGCAGTCACTGACAAGAAATCAGTGTGAACGATAGGAAAAGTAATTGAGGCCCAACACTCTTTACATTTTTCAACTGCTCATCTAGTTCACGCATGAAATCCTACACTAAAAATATTTGTACTTTAAAAATGTGGATGATAATAAATTAACTATGATGAATATAATTAGATCAAAAACATTATAAGAGAGGCATGCTTTGTAAACAAATTTTGGAATAAATCACATGATGAGACTTTCAATGTTTAATGAAATTGAGATACAAAAAAAAATTGACTATGGTGAAGACTAAATTTTATTATGCTCATTAGATTCAAAATAATAAATTAAGGATTACAACTGATGAAAATTAATGATTAATGGAGCATGCATCAAGAAGATGATATGAATAAAGCCAAGTTTATGATGGAGAAAATATTAACTGATTTGTGGATAGACAAAATAGATTAGATTATTTCTTTTATAGAGCCAATATATGAGATGTTCAGAGCGATTATGGTCGAGCATTCTCTCAACCATGTGTATGATTTGTGTGGTTCTATGATCAAAAAGATAAAAGAGAAAATATATCAACAAAAATCAAAGGGAGGTAATGGGGAATGATTTTATAAGGTATTTTATGACATTCCGTTTGAAAAGTGGAATAAAACAATACTCCGCTTTTCTAGGTAGCTTCACTTCGAGGTAGCTTCACAAGAAATAATTTTATGGTCTTATCTTTATGCTTAAATATATATGCATTTTCTCGGCCATAATGTATCACATTTTAACCATAAAACCAAGGTCTGCATAATAAGATGTGTTATATTCATGGAAAGGACATCACAACAAACATAATCCTCACGACTAACCATTTTAATGAATAATAGTCATCTAATTGTGCTGGTAAAGATATGTGATTTGCCTACTCACATGGAAAAGCTCAATATGGGGTCAATGCTTTAGATTTAACGTGTAAGTGCATGCGCAGATATTACACTCATTGCATTACTCCATTCGATAACTATATTGTACCTATTTCCTTGCACATAATATACATGGAAATATATTCCTTCTCCAAACTTAAACTCAATCATAGGTAGAGACCTCCACCTTAACTTTCTTGGTTGGTTCATTCAATGGTTCATGATTCTAAAGGAGATCATTTCTATAGGGGCTTCTAAAAGGATATGTCCTAGGTGGAAGGTCATTTCTAGGGATTTCCATAAATTCTCAACCAAGGTTGTCATGTCAGCTATTTGTGAGGTCAGAGGTAAAATTTGAATTCTAGTGGTTATGTTTTGAACTTTGGTAGCTAATTTCATGACGAGTTCCCATAGAGTATAAAAATTTTTTTAACTATGGAGCGTCATTTCTTCTACTCTTCTAGCTAAATTATCGACCTGATCTGTCTAGCAAACTTTAGAGGCATGATTAGTACGACTGAGAATGACTTCAAAACCAAATGGATTTTAAAATATAGGATTTGACTCATGGACAAAAAAAAGAAGATGCGTAACTTTTTAAAATAAATTTAGTCTTCAATTCAATGTAGAACAACTAGTGGAAACACAAAATGCCAAGTATGAAGACAAAATATTTTAAAACAAAATCCTAACTTTGGTTTCATGTAAAGTTTGTATTCTAGGTCAAACTTTTCATTGTGAAGACTGTGTAAACAAATGTACACTCAATGGATGTAAGATTAAGTGTAGGTTCACAAGGTAAGACTAGGGTTTGTAAGTAATGCCAACTAATTAGTGGAATTATAAATATTCATATAATTGCCTACCACAAATATAGTAGCAAGAGTTCTAACATGGAAATAAAAAATATCAGTAAACTGAAGTACTTTTTTTCCAAAATAGAGAATTGCCTGGTTATGATTCAATTTTCCCGACTTACAACCCTTTCTTCTTGCTCCAATCTTTGAAACGAAGCACGGAGCACTAATTGTAGTCTCCCATCAATCTCTCTGATACCACATTGATGTGTAACCTTATGTTGGATCACTTAGAGGTGCTAATTATGATTGATATCCCTTCACAAGAGGTCTAAGAAAACGATGAATGATTTGGTGAAGTGGGTTGAGGTTTGAGGCAAGGTGGCCAAAATAGGTCTTTTAACAATCTAACCCAGAGCAAATAGTTAAGACTCCAAAACAATAGTAGCAGTTGAGATAAATTTAGGACTTAGAATAAAATGAAAATGATAGATATTTTATATGGGTTGAAGTTTGAGGCAAGGTGGCCAAAATATGTACTTTAATAGTCTAACCCAGAGCAAATAGTTGAACTTTGAAAAAATAGTAGTTGAGACAAATTTAGGAATTCAAATAAAATGAAAATGATAGATATTTTAGCCATGTAACTATTTAAAAATTTTCAATTTTTTTTTTAAATTTCTACACTTTTTTAGTATTTTTATAATGAGACTAGGTATCTAAAAAATCTAATATAGTTGAATGGATTATATTGACTTTATATTTTTTAGAGTTTGAGTTAATGTAAAGAAAACCCAGAGAAAACACTAGTAGATGGTAGATATACTTCTTGAGAACATATATGGAGTTTCAAGGTTTTCCAAAGGATTTAAAATCAACAATTAGGGTTTAGAACCATACTAGGTCTAATTTCTCCACTGGGTTGGCCGGCCACCCTTTTGGAATTTTCATGGAACTGTTGTGAATTTTATTGGAAAATTAAATTTCTAAAATTGAAAAGGGATAAAGGATTACAAAAAAATAGAAAAATCAACTCACTCACCTAAGAGACTTGGGATGATTAAATCATCAAATCTCTTTTTGCTTTTGGTCGGCAACCAAGCCTCGTCATTTGGAAGTTTTCACTTCAAAATCTGTTCACAACAATCACTCTAATATTTTTTATCCCAGTAAATAAAATCATATATGTGTTTTTACTCACACAACCAATCACAACTACACACATAAATCAATCTAGGGAAAGCGAGAGGGATGAAGCCGAGGGCTGGCCCATGGGAATAACTATCTTAACCACTCCCACATTATCTTAGATGGCCACTCTTTCATTTTAAGCACATCACACTTGACACGAGTGCATATTTTACCACCTACATATGTCCTATAAGATATTAGAATGCATAGAATCGCATAAAACATAAACACTTCCTACACTCATACTGGTAACATCCCTAGGCTCCAATTTGCTTCAATTTACCTCTAATCATTAGATATTGCTTCTTCTCAAAGCTATTAGCTTGTGACCTAATTTTTGGTCCATTCTTTTTTAGCATTTAGATATTGTACATGTTGTTCCATATCAATTATTTTTTAGCATAATTAAATGCCTCCCAAATTATCTAAGTGAGCTCTCAACCTACAATATGTTCTCTTATACTCGACAAAACAAACATTGAATTTCTAGATTTTTTTTCATGCTTCAATTGCTCATATTTAGTATAATTGGTAGTATACTTTCATAAATGTTTATTATCATCATATATAAGATTATTGCTAGCTGCATTAGTAAGAAATTATGCCAGCACACAATTAAAATAACTTACTATTAATAGCCCAACATCAAATAAAATTAAGAAATGGCATGTCATTGAGAATGCCATCAATGATAAAAAATAGATAAAAAAGAAAGAAGGTTTAAATGTTACACTGCTAACTCTAAAGCTCTATCGAATGAGAGAGATGAATTGCACTA